AAATGAAAAAGGAATGTTAGAATTAGAATGCCATTTTGCAATCCCTAATGGACTGCATTGATTTTCAGGGCCACTAACAACACAAAAAGAGAGACAGTCAGACATTATATGCCTCCTAAAGGGAGACCTTATCACCACACATGAGGTAATTTTAACCAAATAAATTGTCCCTGAATTTTATCAAGGCTCTAAATCCAAAAACCAATTTACCGAAAATATAATGAAACAGAGCCCATGGAAAAACACCACCACAGGGATACCATCAGTAAAATCCAGACTGTGGAAGCTCTATAGCTAGACAACAAATCCTCTCCCCATCATCTTTTTTTAAATAAATAAAGGAGAGAGACAGAGAGAGGAAGGCAAAAACAATAGGTTAAAACAAACCAATCACAGTATGTGGACTTAATTAGAATCGATTCAAACAAACTAAAATAATTTTTTAGCTATTTTTAAAATAATTTTTAAAGTTATGACATTTGAGACAATTGGAAAATTTTATCTCTTATGATATTAAAGAAATGGCTGCTTTCTCTTGAGGTGGTCTGTGCTTGTTTTTTAAAGAATCCTTATTTTTAGTATTCATCCTGAAATATTTACAGGTTAGCCTGAAAGACTGCAGACATGAAAAGTAATATATTAACATAAAAACACTACTTTTCTCACATTTTATAAAATAATGTTATTTAAAATCTTCAAACATCTTTAATATCAACGTCTTCTTCATGACCACAGGTGCTTTGAGTCAATTTTCAGAGCATGTTGGTTTTACTTCCATCTAAGTTGTAAAGACTGCCATGAACAGTCAAGTCCTTTCTGAAGAATAATTTTTAGGTCCAAAAAACTTACCTTTACTTTAGACTTATTTGCTAGCTTATCTTTTAGATCATGAACTTCCGGACAGCAGGAGCCACGTATTTTCATCTTTTCCTTCTGCCAGAACCTAACAGAGCCGCTTACCATTCACTGCAAGGAGCCTGCACTCCTGTGAGTTCCAGGAGGGTAGGTCCTGGGTCTTGGGTTCACTGTTATGTACCCAGCACCTAGTACAATGCTCAGTATGTGGTATCTAATACATTTTGATGAATGAATATTTGTTACTTTTCCAAACTCTTTACCATATGATCATACATTTCCTCACAGAACTTCATATATGTATATACATATATATATGTGAATAATTTTTCATGTTGGACTCTCCATAGGTTTGTAACATCCAGAGGGCAGGGACCAACTAATGACAATGCTTAGAACCCGTCCACGGACACCTGACACAGCACAGAACACAGTGGACTCTGGAGGAAGTGGGGGAGGGAGGGATGATTGATTTCTTGATTTTAAGACTATAAAAGTCAAATATAAAGAGCAAGGTCAATCATTTGAAAAATTCAGGTTAAATCAACTTGTTTGTTTCCTTGATTTAGATTGGTTAATCACAGTCTAAAGTTACTAAATAAACACTCATCCACTTTCTTTGTCTCGCCAAAGAAAACAGAGCCACTGTTAAACACCATCAGCCCCAGCGCTTGAAAGGTCAAGCCTGAATGGGAATGCATGGCCCTTGACTGGATTCTGGTTCAAATAAACCAACTATTTTAAAAATATTATATAAGGTGTACAGAAATTTAATCAACTGGATGGCTATTTGATTATATTAAAGAATTACTGTTAATTTTTAAGTATAATAATAACACAAGCATACCTTGTTCTATTGTGCTTTACTTTACTGGACTTCACAGATATTGTGGGGTTTTTTTACAAATTGAAGGTCAGTGGCAATCTTGCATCAAGCAAGACTATAGGCACCATTTTTCCAACATTATTTGCTCATTTCATGTCTCTGTATCACATTTTGGTAATTCACAATATTTCAGATTTTTCATTATTATTTATGTGTTATGGTGAGTTGTGATTGGTGATCTTTGATGTTACTATTGTAATTATTTGAGGGCGCCACAATCCACGCCCATAGAAGACAGCAAACTTAATAGATAAACGTTGTGTGTTCTCTCTGCTCCACTGACGAGCAGTTCCCCATCTCTCTCCCTATTCTCAGGCCTCACTATTCTCTGAGACACAATAATATTGAAATTAGACCAATTAATAACCCTCTTAGTGGCCTCTAAGTGTTCAAGTGAAAGGAAGAGTTGCACGTCTCTCACTAAATCAAAAGCCAGAAATGATTAAGCTTAGTGAGGAAGGCATGTTGAATGCCA